CGCCCAGGCCATCCGTGGCTGGGCAGGTTTGATTTTCCATTCCTAGGTCCATCCGCCATCTGTGAACCACTGCAAGCGCCTTTCTTGTGCAGCCAAGGCGAGGTCGTGGTAATGTTGGTTGGAGGGGAGTCAGTTTCAGAGCTTCTTCCAACCCGGATGCTTTCTGCAACCAGGGAAAGTGAGGCCGGGAGAGGGCACGGGGCACGTCGTCGTCGAGCATGGCTGGAAATGAAACCTTCCTGACTTCTCTATTCTCAGCAAACTGCTGGCCCGTCTCTTCATCCAGTTTGACTCAGATGCAGCCTAAGTCTGGGCTCCCACGATCGGCTCTCTGACTTCACTCCCTCCCGCCAGGCGCCTCCCCCAGACCCGTGTCTCGGTCCACACGGCCCCTCTGCCCCGACTGCCTCCCCGAGGCTGCCTCTTCCTCCCGTGCTTTCTGCCAGGACGTCACCTGCCCAGAGCCTCTGGCGACCACCCCTCTCGCTGAGCCTTTCCTCGCCGACCTCCAAACTTGTGCAACCGTGCAGTCACTTGTCGTCTAAACGATGCTCTGCGCCCCCTCTGCCCCCGTCCCCCACTGGAATGGGGGCCCCCTGCGGACGCGACCCCCTCTGGTTCCCCGGGTACAAAGCGGGGGCGCTGGCGAGGACAGCGGGGTTTGTCCCGTCTCCTCGATTCCCCAGCTTTGCAGACACGTGACCGTCGGCGAGGGAATGTCCCCTCCACCACCCCCCCCCACCCCCACCGGCGTCTGTGATTTCAGAGGGGCTCAAAGCCCCTTACCAGGGGGTAAAGGAGGAGCGGGTGGCCGAGGGACCCTGGTCTCTGGGGACAGCGTGCTGGCCAGAGTCCGGAGCCAGGAGCACGCAGGGCTAGGTCCCCGGCTCTGGCCTCCATCCTGCAAACGAGGAGGGGGGTGGCACCGGCGAGGGGAGGCTCCACTGCGCGACCCGGGGGACCCCCAGCCCCGGGCCCGCGGAGGGTCCCACCCCCGACACAATGCGGGGCGGGGCCGGAGCGGACGTGCGGACAGGGGCCCTCGCCCACCCGGCGCCGCTTCCGGCCTTTCCCAGCCCCGGCGGGCGGGAGGGGGCCCCGGGGAGGCCGGCGCGGCTCCCGTCCCAGGCTGGGACCAGGCAGCGCCCGCGCAAGGAGCCTCCCGCGGCCCCCACGACGGCGGCGCCCTAGGAGATGAGTACCTCCCCGGCCCGTCCCGCAAGTGGCCAAGGGGAGTGGTGGCTTAAAAAAAAAAAAGGTTTTGCTTTGTTTTATTCCTAACGAGATGTAATTTAGCTAGAGGGAAATGGACAGATGTCAAACGTGAATGTTTACACTGTTATGCAGGAGAAGGAAATGGCCACCTAGCCTAGTATTCTTGCCTGGGAAATCCCATGGACAGAGGAGGCTGGGGGGACTACAGTCCACAGGGCCCCAAAGAGGCTGAGCGACTAAAAACAACTATCCTTATTCATGAGGGCTCCACCTTCACGACTGCTCACCCCGCAAAAGATTCCCCCTCCTAATGCAATCACAGTGTGGATCAGGACTTAACAGATGAATTTGAGGGGGGACCGCGTTCGACCTACAGCAGAGCCTCCGGAAGAGTCATTGAAAAACAAATGAGGAAAGGGGAGCGAACACGGGTGCTGTCTGGAAGCCCAGGATGTGGGAGGCAGGCAGCGAGCCCAAGCATCCGGCAGGCAGGCCGCGCTCAGGGCTGGACCACTGCGGGGCCACCTCCTGAACCCGGCGGCACCTGGAGGCCGGGCCCTGCCTCCCAAGCCCCTTGCGCTCTGAGGTTTGGAAGATGGGGAGGTGGAGCTAGGAGGGGCCTGCCTCCCGGCCTTCAGCAGGTCCTCGTTGCACTTGTGCTGTATGCGGGGCACTCTGGCACGAAGCACCAGCCGCTGCCCTGGTGGAGGTGCCAGGCTGTCAGGAGAGGTGGTTGACAGCCCCGATGAGCCGGGAGCACCCCTGTGAAGGGGGCCGTGTGAGCAGACACTCGAGTGATGAGAAGGCGGCAGGCCCGGGGAAAGGGCGTAAGAGACAGAGGGAATAGCCAGGGCTAAGGCCGGGGGTGGGGGCGGGGGGGAGAGGGCACCTTGGTTGGCCTCGGTGGCAGAGACAGAGTACCGCCGCCCGACAACAGAAATTTCTTTCCCTGCAGTTCTGCAGGCCAGAGGGCTTCCGTGACGGCTCACACAGTAAACCATCTGCCTGCAATGTGGGAGACCCGGCCGGACTGGACCCCTGGGTCAGGAGGATCCCCTGGAGAAGGGACTGGCTTACCCACTCCAGTATCCTTGCCTGAGAAAGCCCATGGACGGAGGAGCCTGGTGGGCTACAGCCCATGAGGCCACAAAGAGTCCCACCGGGCTCACTGGAGCCCGGAAGTCCAAGGTCAAGGCGTCAGCAGGTTTGCTTTCCCCTGACATCTCTCTCCTTGGCCTGCAGATGGCCCCCTTATCGCTGTGGCCACACATGGTCTGTGTGGAGACTTGTCTGTATCCTAATCTCTTCTTATAAGGACACTGGTCCCACTGGCCTGGGGCCCACCCATATGACCTCGACTTAACTTAATCACCTTCTTGAAAGGCCCTATCTCCAAATGCAGTCAGATTCCAAGGTGCTGGGGGTTGGGACTTGAGGATGTGACTCTGGGGACACAATTCAGCCCCTGACAGAAGGCTTTTGCTCTCGGGGAGGTGGGGGCCTGGCTGAGTGTTGAGCGAGAAGAGACAAGATCTGATTTGCATATTAATAAGGATCCCTCTGGCGCCGAGGCGGGCGGGGAATAGACTGGGTGGGGGGGGGGGGGTGGGTGTTGAGACCAGTGAGGCAGTTACTGCCCAGTCCAGGCTGGAAGCTGGTGGCTGGACCTGGGTGGCAGGGTGGGCAGGGAGCTGCAGCCAGACTCTGTTCCGGGCTGCGGGGCCAGGAGGTTTTCCCAAAGGACGGAGCTGGGAGGGTGCAGCAGAGGAGGGGTGGGGGTGGGGCCCTGGCTTCCTTATCCAGCAGGTGCCTACTGTGTGCAGCCCTGCCCCCACAGGCGAGGCCCCGGGTCTGCTGACTCCGGCTGACTTCTCCTCTGGCACTTCCTTCCTAACTCCTGGCTGTGGATCCTGACCCCCCCACTTGGACAAACATCTTGCGGCCGTTTCCTCCTCGCCTGCCCGGAGCCCCTGCCTGGCCTGAACAAACACTCGGGACCTGCGCTTCCGGCCTCAGCTCTGGGAAAAGCCCAGCCAGGGGCCGCCGAGGTCAGCCCTGGAGGGAAGTGGGAAGGGGGGCGCCGGGGCCCCCGCCTGGGGTCCCGCCTGGCCGGCCTTGGCAGCATCCTGCGCTTCATTGACCCCATCCGTAAAATGAGCCTAATCCCGCCCACCTCAGAGGACCCTAGGGAGACAAGACGCACCCTCTGGGCCTGGCATGAGACGGGGACACTGCCCACCGGGCCGTGAGAGGCCTGGGACGGAGGGAGGCTCCAGGGGACGCCCCCGAGGGACCAAAGTAGCCAAATTTAACTCTCCTCCTGTGGCCTCCCACTTCTTGCTCCCATTTCCGAAAAGTGTCCCACCAGGCTGCCGCTCCAGTCCTGTTCCCGACAGAGCCTCCCGGTGCGTTGCTATCAGAGATTAGGAACCAGGCCCGGGGTGTGGCAGGAGTGGACAGTCTTGACAACGTAAATAGGCGAAGATGGTGGACGGTGAGGAGCGAGCTCCCCGTCGCTAGACATGTGAGCAGAGCCAGGCGGATATGCAGGAGGCATCCCCTGCCGACACTTCCCCCTCCTCACCTGCTCCCGGCACCCTGGGGACCGGGGGCCAGCTAGTGCGTTCTGGGGCTCACAAAGATCCAGATTCCAATCCCAGCTCCGCTCTGTGCCCAGGCCCTCAGTTTTATGTGTGTGAAGGGGTCTGAGAGACCTGGCCAGGGAAGGCAACCGGGCCCACGGTGCTCACCCCACTGAGGGGCTGCCGGGGGCACAGGGCCAGAGGCACTGGGTGTCCCCCCAGGGGAGAGGGGTGGCGTCTGGGCGCCTCCTCCACTCAACCCCCTACTTGAAGGCTCTGCCAGAGAAAGCCTCCCAGCTGGGGTTTGATTTTGATTTTATTTTTGTTTTACAGGCAGGATCTGGGAGTGGAAACAATGGAATTAATGTGTGTGAGGGTTTTGGTGTGTTTTTTTTTTCCTTTGGAGAAGTTTCTCCTCATCTGCCGGGTTGGAGTCCCACCTCAACTTCCGGTCTTTGGAGGAGCCGGCAGGAGAGGATGGGTGTGGGCGGGGCGGTCAGGAAGGGGAGAGCTGGGGGCGGGGGGCGGTGAGGAGGAAGGCAGGGCTCCTTCTGGCTCCTGGGTCTTTGCACCGGCTGTGCCCCGCCCCCAGCCCCTGCCCATGCTGTAGCCCCCGTGCCTCCTCCAGGAAGCCCTCCCTGATCTCCCCCACCCAGGCTAAACAAACGGGAGTCAGCACCTTCCCGCTCTCATTCATCGGCACTTCATCTTCCACTGCGGACTGGGCCTGTTGGTTTACAGCTCTCTCCTCTGCTCAGCACTCAGGAGACACCAGCCGCGTAGGGCACAGAAAGGGGGGCCCGGTCCTACACCGCGGTCCTCACTGTCCACTCAGGGCCCTTGATCTGGGACGGAGAAGGCAAAGGGCGAGTCGGGCGGGGTCGGGCGGGTGCGTGGGTACAGGCACAGAAGTGGGTATGGACGGGGAGTGCTCAAGGGCTGGACTCCCACGACCCTGGTTGTCAATCTGGGCAGTGAGTTCTCCCTGAGTCTCAACGTCCTCCTCTGTAAAATCGGGATGACAGCCCTACCCGGCGAAACTAACTTGAACGGCCCCAGCGCCCGGCCCGGGAGGCACCCTGCAGGTGCTTTAACCAGCTCAGCAAGGCCGTCAGCTGGGCTTGGTGCCCAGGCGGTATGGTCTCTTGGCTGGGAGGGTCCGGGGCATGGAGGGGAAAGCGGAGCCCCAGACCCGTAACTCACAGATCCACTCAGGTACCGGTGCTCAAAGTAATGCGACCGGTTCCTCCGCACGCCCACCTCGCCTTCTCCCGGCATCCTCCGCCAGGGGCCGAGGGTCCTGCAAACGCAAACCTGCAGTAAATAACGCTGATTGTAGCACTCGCGAGCCTTTTCTGAGGCTCCTCACTTAACCTCTCGGTCCCTCCTCTATCACGTGGGGTCAGCGCTGGGTGGGCACGTGCGCATCGAGAGGAGCAGGGCCCCTGCCTCCCCTCAAGCCTTGAGGTCCGGAGGCCTTGAGATTCAGTAAAGACAGGGGGGCAGGGAAAAACAGCAGCACCTACGGGCTGGATAATAAGATGGAGAGGCGGGGCGCTGACCTCTGGCCGTCACGCGCAGATACGGGGCCCCCACGGAGGATGCTACGAGCCCGCCGGCCTTACGCATGCGCGTGGCAGTGGGTTTCCCCCACATCCGTCAAATAGCAGAGGCGGCGCGTCCGGGCCCACGTGTTCGTGCCCAGAGTTTGCCTGGCTCCACCCCGAGGTAAGGTTTCCGGGTAGCCGGGAGAAACTGAGGCCCAGAGCAGGGCGGTGACTTGTCGGGGAGCTTCAGAACTGGGGTTCCACCAGTGCTACCTTTCAGAGGGGACCTGCGGACCACCCAGGTGAGTCCAGCCCTGGAAGCGTCTGGGGTGGGCGGCGCTGTTAGCCCTTCTCGGGTTGGTGACCCCCGACAGGTGGCCTGCCGAGGGTGGCGTTGAGTCTCTCCCTCTGGGCTCTGGGGCGGCCACAGGGCCTGGGCTGGGCCGAGGTAGTCTCCCCTCGGAGTGCCCCCCTCCCCGGCTCCGGGCCCCACCCCCTTGCCTTTGTAGGTGCAGCGGTGCTTTTGGCCTCTGATTCTCAGCCAGCACCCACCGTAACCCTCATCCTCCCCACCCGTGGCTTTTGTCCTCTGTGGCCTTTAACACAAATAATACACACGTTTCTCTGATGAAACTTAGAACATTGAGACTCGAAAGAAAAACTCCAAATTCCCCCCTCCCACCCAGCAAAGCATTCCTGTGCAGGGGGTGCTAGTGGTGAAGTTCTCACCTGCCAATGTAGGAGATGTAAAACACCTGGGTTCGATCCCTGGGTCGGGAAGATCCCCCTGGAAAAGGGCCTGGCACTCCAGTATTCTTGCCTGGAGAATCCCATGGACAGAGGAGCCTGGCGGGCCGACAGTCCATGGGGTTGCAAAGAATCGGACACGACTGAAGCGACTGGGCTCACATGCACGCACCCAGCAAAGCATCAAGGGTTCACCCTGCCTGATTCTGCCTCTCCCCGGCCCTGTAACCCGCGGCACACACCCTCGGTAGCGGGATCTCAGGGTGCCTGTTGGCAGCTTCATGGCGCGTCCAAGCCCAGGTCCCGGAGTGGAGCTCCAGCTGCCAAAGCCCTCGATTCCTTTAGGGGCGGGGGATGCCCACCCCGGCCATGGCATGGAGGGGGAAGTGAGAGCGGAGGGGCAGGGGTGGGATGACATGGGTCCAGTTGAGGAAGTGAAAGTTCTCCTGCGAACCCCCCCTCACCACAGGACTGACGGCAGCCCGCCCGCACCACCCCTTGTCCTGGATGGAGGTTCACAGGGTGGTGCCCCCCCACCTGACCAAAACCATACTGGGGCCCCAGGCTGTGATGCTGGGAGAAAGGGGGTTTTCCTGGTCGCTTGCCCTGGGAGCCTCAGCTCAGGGGGGACCATCCCAGCCTCAGACCCCAGACCCTGGCCTGACCAGCCAAGCCTCTTGAGTGAAGACAGGGAAGTCGGGGGCCAGGGGTGGTGGTGGGGCTACTTGTTTGGCTGTACTGTCTTCAGGGAGAGACTGAACCGGGTCTGGAGTCCAGCCAGGGGGCCTCCGACACCTGCCCAGACGTTCGCGGTGGCGGCCTCCTGTCCTCTGTGAGCACTCTCCTTGGCCTCACTGGGCGGGGTTCGAGTCCCCCGCGGTCCTCTGTGGACGCGGCCTTGGCAAGCCCCTGCCTGTCTTTGGCCTTCTGTGAAACGGGCGAGTGATTGCTCGTGCTCCTGTGGGGAGCAGATGAGATGAGTATCGGTCCCCCTGGGGCAGGCCCCGGATGGGTGTCAGTTGGGTTGGAAGGTTCGGGCAGGTGGCCTCTCCTGCCCCGCCGACCGACCCCAGGTGCAGAGTGACAATGGGCCAGGGGCTCCATCTGCGTGGAGCTCACCGGCTTCCTCTGGGGCCCCACAGGGCCGCCTGTTTCTCTGGGGAGAGGGTCTCCCCTCCTATCCCCTTCCTCCAGGCCTCCTTCCTGCTTCCCGAGGCGCGGCTGGCCCTTCCGTCCAGGCGCTCATCAATTGCACCCAAGGTGCTGAGCGTCCGGTCGGCCTTCTCAGGCCATGACTCACTTCCTGTTTCCCGGAGCTAGAAATAGCTTCCTCTGGATGCTGGGCCAGTGCTGGGGGGCTCCCTCCCTGGCAGCTACTCAAAGTCTCTGCAGCGCATCTCCCCCCCGCCCCCAGGCCTGGGCACCACCCACCACTAAGTCTGTGTTCTGCTGGACACCAGACCAGCCCAGGGACCCATTCCTTGCTGGCTTAGGGATGTAGGAGCACCCGCTGGGGGTCTAGCCCTGGGGCAGCAGCAGTGGGCCTGCCCTCGGATGTCTCCAGACACACCAAATAACCTGGCTAGGGTGCCCTGAGCCCTGGGCAGGGAGGGGGTGGGGGCCTCTGCCCACTGTGGAGTCCGCAGGGGTCATGGGTGAAGGAAAACGGGTGGGGCTTTACCCCCAAGAGCTTTTGCCTGGTTTCAAGTTGTAGAAAAACAACGTGAAGAGGTTTGCAATTGGACAGTCTCCCTGAGGCTGCTTCATGGAGAAGTGATTGCCGGAGAGGCGGGAGGGGGCGGGGCTCGGACCGATGATGTCTCAGGCTGATGGGAGGGAAGAGGGGGTGCCCCTGGACAAATGGGAGGAAAGGACGGGGTGTCTGGGTACCCCCAGCTTCTGCCTTCAGTGCCACGTGCGACACAATGGAGGCCTGGGCTGGGTCCAGGCGGGGCGACGCATTCAGTCCGTGACTGTGGACAAGTCACTCAACTCCACTCTGCCTTGCTTCCCATCTGCAGAATGGGTATAATAGAAGGCCCTCCGTCATGCACTGCAGTTGTGAGGAATAAATGTGATCATCCACATGCAGCTCCTGGGCAGCCTCAGTAAACTGTAGCTGTTTTATTTTCTGCCTTGGGCCCTGTAGGTCTTTTGCCATGTGCTGTGAAAAAGGTGATGAGGCTCCAGTGAAGCTGAGAGGCACAGCCTCACCCCCATTTTGCAGAAGGGGAAACAGAGGCTGGGGGGGAGAGAAGGGCTCTGTCCAAGGTCCTGCAGCTGGGGAGTGGCGAGGCAGGATGCAAACCTGGTCCCTCAGGTCCCAAAGCCTCCCCACAACACCCAGGGACCCCCAGAGTGTCCCGCCCCTGCCTGTGGCCCTAATGAGTTGACACCAGCATGATCAACCCAGCCAAGTCACGTCCTCATAGGAAAATCTGTATTTTTAGACTCACAAACCCTCCCCAGGCTGGGGCGGGGGGGTGTCGGCCTTCCCTGGAAAGTGGGTGAGAGCTCGTGGGGGCATCAGCCGGACACCAGGGCCCCGGAGCTGTGAGGAGTGGGTACCAGCCAAGAAAGTGGCGAGAGGACTTTAGTTCATCTCCTTGCCCATCCATTCACTCATTGGTTCATTCCCTCTCGTGAGCCTGCTCTGAGTCCCTGTGGGTGACCCAGGTATGCCCTCGACAAGATCCAGCTCCTGATGAGATACCCCCTGGTTGGTGTGGGCGCTGTGGTGGTGGCCGCGTGGGGGGCCGTGGGACCCACCCAGCCTGGGAGATCAGGGAAGGCTGCCTGGAAGGGGAGGGGCCAGAGCCGAGTCTTAGAGGCACTCTTGGAGGCTCAGTCAGGGGGACAGGGCAAGAAGGGAAGTTTCAGAGTCATGGTGAAACGTACCATTCATACCAGGAACTGGGGGAGCTGCCGGGCCCTGGACTCAGACTCTGACCTGGAGTGGGGGAGGGATGCGGGAAAGTACCGGCGAGGACGCTGGCTCATCCCGAGCCTCCTGGCTGTGGTCAGTGGAGACTGATGACGGGCGGCGTCACCCAAAAGTCCCTAGGGGACCAGTTCCAAGTCCCTCCCTCGGGGGCTGTAGCCAGGCTGAGTCACGCCCACGGGCCGGCCTGCCCGTGGCTAAGGGCCGGGCCTTCCAAGGCCTTAGGACTTTCCTGGGGCCCAGTGGTAACGCATCTGCCTGCAGCGCTGAGGACCCGGCTTCAATCCCTGGGTCGGGAAGATCCCCTGGAGAAGGAAATGGCAACCCGCTCCAGTACTCTTGCCTGGAGAGTCCCAGGGAAAGGAGCCTGGTGGGCTGCAGTCCATGGGCTCGCAAAGAGTCGGACACGACTGAGCAACTAATACGAACTTAACTTCCAAGGCCCGAGGCTGGACTACTCAGGGTCACAGGCTGAACCACCCAGGACCAGGCTGAGCCCTCCAAAGCAGAAATTGAGCTCTTGAAGGTTGGTGATAAAAATCTGGCGGTTTGAGGAGGAAATCCTCTAGCAGTCTTGGGGGCAGCAAGCCCAGGGCCAGTGGACACTCGGGAGACCGGAGTCCCAGCGAGAAGTGTACAGAGTGGGCTCTTGTGTACATCTCCTCACATCAGCCTGTTACACGTGCAGAGCTTAGCTTGTACACTCGTCCCCCACGTGTTCCCGGATTCCCCCCATGTACATGTACCCCAACATGCACACAGACACACGCACACCTGTGTTTATATGCACATCTCCCCACATCCGTGCCCATGTTTTCCCCTCTCGGCCCACACCCCCCATGCGTACACATCGGGAGCCAACCCAAGACGGGGCTCCTGTAGGCTAGGGCGGGGCTGGGGGGAAGCTCGTTATCAGAGCGCGCCCCATGGGCCCCCACTGCCTCTCCTCTCCTGGGCCGTGGACGGATGAGCTGTGGTCCCGCCCGCCCTGGGCAGCTGTCCATGAGAAGACCTCTTTAGAGCCATTGGCCAGCGTGGTGCCATCCCACCTCTGTGAGTTTCAGACGGGGCAGAGTCTGCCCCCAGTGACCAGGGAGGCCCCTCTGACTTAAAACGCCTCCAGAGTGAACTCTGCATTCCCCACCAGCCTGTTGCTCCCGGCCTCTGGAAGAGGAAGCCCCAGACCTAGGAACTCCCTGCCTGGACCCTGCCTCTCCTCCCCCCAGTCCACATCCTCGGCCCCCAGTCCTCAGGAGTCCCTCCTCCTAAGAACCTGAAAGTCATCTCTGGCTTCCTGCACTCGCTGTGCAGTAAGGGGGCTCTCCCTGGCCTTGCCCAGCGCTCCAGCGCCTGGAGAACCCACCCCACTCCAGTGGCACCCAGCTCACCTCTGCTCTTCCAGGGCCTGCGAACTGCCCGCTCCAGCTGCTGCCCTGGTCCTCGTGCTCAGAAAGCTGTCCCGTGAGCGTCCTGCAGATCTCAGCTCAAGGGTCACTGCCCCAGAGAGGCCCTTGCTCACCCCGAGACGGGCTCAGGTCCCTGCCGCGAGAAATCCTCCTGGAACTATGTGGTGTTGCCCTTTGTCGAAGCTGTGGCTCTTGGCAGTTATGTGATTATTTGAGCTATTACAGGCTGTCTCCCCCATGAGACAGAGACCATGCCTGTGGGGTCCCCATAACATCCCCAGGGCTTGGCAGAGTAGGTGCCTGGTCAGTGAGGTGGAAGGAAGGAAGGCAGAACTCTGTTCTGGTGTTTCGTTCCACCCAGGGTTTTGCCTGGAGGTGGCAGGACTACACCAGGAGTCAGGGTGCAGCCTCACCTTGAGGGCAGGATGGCCTGGTCTTGTGAGGGGGGGCGGGCAACGTGGCCACGTGGGCAAAATGGGGGTCGTGGAGGCAGCTTTGGCAGAGTCTGTCTGGCGTCGCCCAGGAAGGGGTCTCTAGCAGCCAGCGTGACCATCCCGTCTGCTCAGTAGATGTCCTAGGTGGGGGACACAGCCGTCCATCCATCCTAACGTTTATAGGCTGTGATCACGTGTCCACCCGGGAAGACCACCCAGTCTGCTGGGGAGGACAGATACTCTCCTCCTGTGATGAGCAGCCTGATGAGAGGAGCTTCTGATACTGCTCCCGGAAGTCCTCTGGAAGGAAGGACTCAACGTATTCCTCTCAGAAAGACAGCCACGTAGACTAGACCTTGAGGGATGTCTGGGAGCTCAAGAGGAAAGACTTTCCGAAGGAAGCAACATCTGGGCTGGGTCTGGAGAGACATGGGCAAGGTGACCGAGCAAAGAGAAGACGTACGTCTTCTCCGGACACTGGGTTCTCTTTAGAGACGCCACAGGGCTGGTGAGACTGGACCCTGCTCATCCGCCCCAGCCTTGCCCACACATGCGTGCCAATGAAAGCATCTCTGCCCTGTCCTGGAGCCAGGAGGACTTTCCGGTTCTTGTGCGTACTCCACTGGAGTGGAAGGGAATCTCAGAATTGGTTCAGTTGCAGGCCAGGCCCAGGGGACACCTACTAAGCAGACTCCAGGGAGCCACTGAGGAAAGACCAAGCTCTGTCCTGAGCAGAGACCAAACATCACGGGCCAACTCTGTTGGGAGGCAGATGCATCGTCCCATTTTACAGATGAGAAAACTGAGGCTCAGAGGAGCATGCAGTCTGGAGAGGACAAAAGGGTCTTGAGATGAGGCCCTGTCTGCAGGGGAGGAGGAGGCAGGGGGAAGAGCTGCCTCTGTGGGCATCTGACACCCAAGCCAGCTCTGAGCTCCACCCAGGCAGGCAGGGCAGGGCAGCCAGAAGCCAGAGCTGGAGGGATGCAGGGAGCAGCAACGTGTCCTCACCATCCGTGACTTTAGTGATCAGTTTGTGATTGATTATTTACCACAGGCCAAATGGCTGGCTGTTCCACACTCTCTAGGGAATATCTCGTTTTGATCCGCATGGCCTGGAGGGGCTGGGACTTTTAGACCCATTTCATTGAAAGGACTGATGCTGAAGACGAAACTCCAATACTTTGGCCACCTGATGCGAAGAACTGACTCATTGGAAAAGACCCTGATGGTGGGAAAGATTGAAGGCAGGAGGAGAGGGGACGACAGAGGATGAGATGGTTGGATGGCATCACCAACTCAATGGACATGACTTTGAGTAAACTCCGGGAGTTGGTGATGGACAGGGAAGCCTGGCCTGCTGCATGCAGTCCATGGGGTCGCAAAGAGTTGGACACGACTGAGCTGAACACTGGTGTGGAGACTGAGACCTGGAGAGCCGAAGGGACTCGCCCTGGGTCACGCGCATGGGAAGCGGCCAGATCTGAACCCAGGACCACAGGATGACAGCGGCACAGCTCTGACTGGACTTCCTCATGGAGAAGAGGGAACAGCCAGACCTAGGAGTTCCCGCTCCAACCTGAGCAGCGGGGTGGCCCCGAGCAAGTCGCTTCCCTTTTCTCCTCCCCCGTAAATGGGCCTGACAGTCCGTGCGGTGTGAAGGATGAAGTTCACGTTCAATCCTGAGTCATCCTGTAAGGGCTCTGTAAACCCCGGGGCTCGGGTGCCCCTTCCCCTGGGAAGCCTGCCTTGATTGCCCCCACGGGCCTGGTTGCCTGAACGCTCCTGTGTGTGTCCTCAAGGCATCGTCACGGCTGGCTGGGTCCCAGGGCATACAGTAGGTGCTCACTCAAAATCCGCTGGAATGAGGACGGCCAGACAGGCTTGGGTTCAAATCCAGGACCACTGCCTTGCCTCCCTGAACCTCAGTTTACTCATCCATCAAATGGGGTCACTGGCACTGCCCTTCGATTGCGTCCGTGAGGATTGACTGGGATGTGTCCGGCGCACAGTAGGTTCTCAGCCCCCGTGACGGTTCAGTGACCAGCAGCGTCCTGTCCGGCTCTGGGCTTCCCCTGCCTCCTCGGGGCTCCATTTGTGGGGCACCTCCCCTCTGTTCCAGGATGGCCTGCCCCAGGCAGCTGGCCCCCTGGAGCGGGCAACAGCCTGAGAATGCGGGTGGGGTCCCCCCGGGTGGCCCTGCCCCCGGCCCCCCCACCGCTGCCGGACAGAGGCCTCAGTGTGGACCGGCTGGGGTCCTTTCACGGGCCCAGACCCATGACTGGACGTCTGAGAATGCCGCCCATTATCCGGCTCACAGAGCACAAAGGGGCCACGCGGGGGCTTGGCAGGCCCGGCGCCCGGGATGGGTGCGCGGGGGCTCCGGGTCCCCACCCCAGAGGGCAGGGCTGTGCCCAGAGTCGGGAGAGGGCGTCTCTCACACGCAGGAATGAGAACCATTTCCTCCAGCCTCTCGGGGAGACAAAGACAGAGAGAAGCGGGGAAGGGGCTCGTCAGAGGTGAGGGTGGGCGCCCCTCGGGAGCCCTGACACCCGACCTAGAAGTCTACCCGCCCCCTCCCCACCCTGCCCCCCCCCCAGGGGGGCATCCATCCCGGGGGACGGAATGCTCCAGAACCCTGAAAAGGGTCCACCCCCTGGTCTTCCCCAGAGCTGGCCATGGGCGGACACCCTCCCCGGCAGCACCAGGGGTCTCTAGTTGAAACCCAGGACGGTCACGGGTCCTGTGG